TACTAGATTCTCGTGTATGGGCTCTCTTTTGTACATATCTACTTGTACATAGACCTTTTATGATACCTTTTACATTTCTTAATTACTTCAAATTCAATATTATATAAGATAGCTAACACTTACCAGCAGGATCCTTAAGAGTAATACCAGCTTCCTGTTCAAGCAAGCATGATATTATCTGCCAGAATTGCCTTCTCTTGCACTCTTGAAAATCAACTTGATTTTCAACGAAGAGTTTGACAAGTGTAAGCTTATGTCCATCGGTCAAACAGGTATGTCCATGGACAGGACTAAGTTGCTCAATCTGGCTGGCATGTTCAGTTGGTAATTTGGAGGTTTGTGACAGGTCAGTCATTCTTGTTGATGATATTCTAGTTGTGTGTTCTTTAATATTAATTGTTATGAGGCGTGATTAATTATCATTTAGTGCTGATTAAGATATATACCAAGCGAAGCTTAACCAGAAACTCCAAAATCCCTTCTTCTTAAGTTCACTTGTTGTTACAGTAAACACTGTTGTCACAGAGATAGCGATCCCTAACTTAGTGCTATGAAATCTCTCAAATAATACTTAATAAAATTATGCTCACAGTAGAACTTTGAGAAGAAGTGTACCAAATAGCCCATGAATTTCACCTCTTTCTCCAAGCAGCTTTTCTGTGCTTTAAAATCAAGCTCTTTGGCAATTAGAGCTCTTGCATAATATGTGTCTCCATTAAGGCAGATTTTGTCTTTCTTCCATTCAGACTTCCAGTATTGAACTTGCAATCTTGATCTCTACAAACCCCTTTCCTGTAGTATCTTTTGCAGTCCCTTGAGTATTTGATCTGACATTACCATAGCTTGTACCTCTCCTGTTAATGAGGTGATTCCAGTTCCAAGAACTGCTTGTCCTCCTCTGGGTGTAACCTTTCTAAGTCCTTATTAATGTATATCAACGGGTAACGATACCTTTTCTTGATATATATCTTATTTCTCTTTGATAGCTCTTAAGCCCTTTAGCTTACATTACCAACACTTGTTTAGGTAATGTCTATTGTTGAGCCATATAGCAATATAGCTCTTAGGCTTGTGAGAAATGTAATTGTAATGAAAGATTCAAAGATATTTTATTAGTAAAGTAATAAGCAAGAAAATTACTTAGAATAAGGCGTGAAGAGCCTACTCCCTTCAGCTGTACCGGCCTCCTTATATAGTACTCTTTGTACCAATCCTAACCCTGATGAGATAAATATGAGTCATGTGAAATCTTTTGTAAACAAGTCATATGACTCAAGTAAGTCACTTGTGTAAAACCCATGACT